CCCTTGAGCACTAAAATATTTTTTGAAGAGAAAAATTTTATAATAATTATTTCTTTATAATGCATGCGTCTTCATTTATTAGCTTTCAATTATTAAAAAAAAAAATTTACCGGAACAACCAATAATGACTCCATATGTGTTTTTGAACTATAATGATTTTGTTTAACAAAACCTGGATCTATGACAAACGTAACACCATTTATAGTAATAGAAGTTTCAGCAATATTGGTAGCCAAAATAACCTAAATATAATAAAATTTTTTATTCATATTAATAAACAATTTTAAATATAAAAAATAAATAAAATTTTTTACAAACTTTTCGAGCACCAGGTGGTGTTGCCTCAAATATTTTAGCTTGCATATCAGGTGGAAGATTGGAATAAATTGGACATATTATTAATTCTTTTACTTTACTGCCAAGAACTCTACATGTTTGTTGTAAACTTTCTTGAACAGTCTCAATTTCTTCTTGACCCTAAGTAAATAGAAATATTAGTAAACAACAATAAAATAATCATTATAATCATTATTTATAATTATAAATGTAATGATATAAACTTACTGTAAGAAAGACTAATATGTCTCCTGTATTTTGTGAAATATGTATTTGCATAACGGTAGCTATTGCTGCAGAAATGTAATTTGCTTCTGGAGCTTTTGTATGACAAATTTGAACTGGGTAAGGTTTACCTGGAACTATTATTATTATTAAATTGTTTAAAAAAAATTAACTTGAAAAAAAAAATTATTAAACCTAAGAATACATCATAAGTATTATTAAAGCTTACTCCTAAAAATTGGTGCATCATCAAAATAGGCAGCAAATTTTTGAGCATTTAATGTTGCGCTAGATATTATAAGTCTAAGATCAGTTCTGACTCGAGAAATGTCCTTTTTATAGGTAAATTTAAAATCAGTAATCTTATTTCAAAATAAAAATAAAAGTTTTTTTCCTAAAATTTTTTTTACCTTGACCAAACCAAACAAAATATCAGTATGCAGAGTTTCCTATAGATCCTTTATTATCTAAAACAATTATAACATCTGAGAAATTTCATTGCTCAGAAGAGGTAAACGATATTTATATTTATATTTATTATTATAATTAATTTTATTATTCTGATTATTTTAATAAATATTTTATAGGTTATATCTATAGTTTGTATGTTAACGGTACAAAGTTCGGTTTTTTATAGACCAAAGGATAAAAAATTTTACGCTGATAAGGCTCATCAAAATTTCATTAAACCTGGTGGAGATCATCTCATGTTACTAAATATTTGGGAACAAGTAAGTGGTCATAATAACAAAATATAATATGTTGAATATTCCCTTTGAATGAATTATAACATTGCCATTTTGCAAACAAATTAATTTGTATAAAGTGGGCAGAAACAAATTATTCTATGGGTTGGTGTTATGAAAATTTTATAGTATATCGATCCATGAATCGAGCAAGAGATGTTCGTGATCAACTAGTGAAATTATGTGATCGTACTGAAGTTGAATTAAAATCAAATCCTGATCCTGGTGACATAATTCCAATACAAAAGGTTAGTTAGTTGAATAGTTATTAATAGAAATATATGCGTATTAGCGTGAGTTTGTATGGAAAAAAAACATTATATTGAACTTTTTTTTTTTTTAAATTGTGTTATTA